CCCTGCCTCCGCCCGCCCGCGCTCCCGGGACGCTTACCTTAATAGGCAAGGACCGGGACGCTGCACCCCTCCCTGCTCCGCGGCCCAGCCAGAGGAGCCGGACTCCTATCCTGCGGATTCCACGGGTGGGAGGGCTGGAAAGGAATCCAGATTCTCAGGGTCTTCATTTTGATGTGAAGATGGGAGGAAAAGGGGGTGTCTTCTGTTTTGCTCTGTTTTTTATTGAGTTAGGCTGCTGGCAGGGAAATCAGGCTCCCACTTCGGTTGCTGAAGTGTCTACAATATGTGGTGTCAGACAGGACTGGGGAGGCAGCGAAGTGTAAGGTTCGGGGAGCTCATGTATTAATTCGGCAACACTCAGGGGGCCTATGGAGGCCAGGCTTAGTAGCGAGCCCCAGGACAGAAAAGGAGGAGACAGCTGGACCTGTTACGACGCCTCTGGTGGCCGGGATAGATCTGTGAGCAAATAAATTGCTGCGAGGTGAGAAGGGTGGGTCAGGAGCAGGGCAAGCTCAGCGGGCCTCTGCCTGCGCCAGGAAGGGCTTTGCAGAATGTACCTGGTGCCGCCCTGAAAGCGTGAGTCCCTGCGAGAGGCGAGAGGAAGAGCAGCCCTCCTCCAGGGCAGGAGAGAAATGGGCTACCTGGGCCAAGAAGAGAAATGCAACTCGCGCGGTTTCCTCCTCCGCAGAATAGAAATGATAGCGTCTGCCTCAAAGAGTTATGGAAATTAAGGAATTAGCACCTGTAAAGTGCCCAGAATAGTGCACTTTACACGAGTGAGTCCGATCAATACAGGGTTAGCTGTTTAGTAATATACATAGCGCTAGCAAGGCAGGCGGCGGAACCACTGAGCTAAATCTCCGGCCCCAGGGTTAGCTGTTGTCCTATTGCACTCTGACAGCCATTTCTGTCTCGACCACGTTGCCATCTCGGCCTACATCTGCGTCTTTGAGCATATGGTTGACTCTCTAGTGAATTTTATTTATGAAAACGAGTAGAAGAGAGAAAAATGAAAGCGCTGATTCTGGTAGTAAGTTTCATTCAGTGAACAAAGATAGAAGTCATTAGGTATGCAGAGGCAACGCTTCCGTTTCAGTCTAACACAGCTCTATATTTGTCACCTCCGTTTCACTATCAAGGAAAAGAACTAAATCAGTGTCTGGGAACTTCCAGGTATACAATAAATTAACTGAATAAACAATAACAGCCTTATGCGTTAAATTTACTTTTATGTCTCTAAGACAAATGCATGTAGACATAGTGAATTATTCTATATTCTCTGGGAACAATACCTGTTATGACATATAAATCCATGGTTCTTTTGTACTATAACTTTAGCGCACTCATATTAGAGACAGATGACTGCCTGCCCGCCATCAGTTTTAGATTTTGAGTGTAGAATAACCCAGCCCCCCGCTTCATAAAATTGAATGTCTTAGGGAAAACTGACTCTTGGCAGGACTAGGCTAAGATAATCCTATTCACCTTGTAAGTAGTTCAGAAAACCAAACTTCAGGTGCCCTGGCTAATGGAATAGAGGGGTGTCTGCTAGGGCCGGATGTTTTGTCTTCTTCCCGTCAAAGTCTTTGGGTCTGGGTGTTATATGTGAAGTTACTGTGTCCACCTTGGGATGAGTCTGAGGACAAAGTCAGCAGTGAGGACCACAAGGCAGAAAGTTGAAAAAAAAATCCAGAAAGTTGAAAAAACCCAGATTGTTGATGATGCTACTCAACCATCAAGTCAGCCAATCTCAAGCCAAAGTCTGTAGTCCAGATTTTTGTACATATATATGTGTGTGTGTGTGTGTGTGTGTGTGTGTGTGTGTGTGTGTGTGTGTGCATATTGTTGGCTGAGAGACATCCTACCTAAAAATGCACTTTCAAGAGTACATCATTATATGAAAGCAGAGGACTACATTAAAAGACATAATAAGAAAATTAGCATTCGAACTCATTGTTACTGGCATTGCTTCTTCTCTTTTGCTCCTGTCTTGAACTCAGATGTGATCCGTGAAGCTCTAGAGTGTGCTGTGACTATGAGGACAGGCCAGGAGAACTGCAGACCTCCCAGCCAGGGCACTGTAACACCAGCATCTACCTACCTCCAGGTTTCTTGTCACGTAAGAAACATAAACCCCTTTCCATGTGACTTTGTGTTCTGTTGCTTGGAGCTGAAGTGCTTCCTAAGAGATGGGAGGGAGAATAAATAAATGCATTTTGGGATCTGCCGAGTTTCAGGTCCATTGGGAGATCTGGATGAGTAGAAATATGATTGGGAATCTGTGGAGAAGTTTGCGCTCCAAGTTTAAGGCAAGGGTTCATTAACAGTGTTAATAAAAGCCATTTGTCTTCAAGCTTTTTCCCATACATTCCCTAAAAGAATCAGGAAAAAGTATTTCCCTTTGTACCTTTACCTCAATGTTTTATTATTTTAATATTTTTAAATATGTAGAAAAGCTGAAATAATTTGGGAGTGAGCACCGTATAATTCCACTTGGATTCTGAGTAGACATTTTGCTTGACTTGCATTGTTTGTCTATATATCTGTCCATTTGTCAGTTTGTCTTACTTATTATGCATTTTAAAATAATGTCTCACATCTAATCTCTTCAGCATACATGACATTAAATACAGGCCAAATGTCTGTTTCCACTGTTTTAGATAAAATTTATAGCAATAAGATGTGCACATTTGAAGTATACAATTCAATACTTTTTGACAAATGCCCAAACCCTGTTAAGATACAGTATATTACTATTGTCCTAGAAAGTTCCTTTGCACTCTTTCCCAGGTAAACTGTGTCCCCACCTCTCTTAGAGTCAAACATTGTTTTGGTTTTCTTTTGCTATAGATTAATTTTGTCTGTTCTAGAGCTTCATATCAATGGAATTTGACTATTCACCCTCACACATTTAAATTGATATGAAATTTATTATAACTGAATATTTTTAAAAGGTGTCATTTATGATGAATCTTAAATATTGACATTTTAAAATAAAGTTGTCACATGACTCATTTTAATATATCCTATAGCATGATCTGCTGTCTATTATCCATTTCAAAAATACATGAGCAAATTCCTCTTTCACAGCATGGGAATTCTACATCTTCCCTTGTTCTCCTTGAGCATTTACTTTTATTCCACAAATGTAATTCTAAAATAATACAGTTTTATGCATGAAATGTTTTTTTGAATGTCTGTTCATACTTTTCTGGACAAATATTGCTATAAGATAGTTAAATTCACCCCCCGCCCGAGAACCACAATGTTAATTAATTTCACCTAGATACACAATCTGATAATTTGCAAAATTATTTTTAGTACAGAACTGATTAAAATAGTGAATGTAATTTTAAATGAACAATCAAGAATAAAAGCAAAATACTATTTGAAATGTTTCTCTTAAAGGGCTTGGTGGGGTTTGGATTTTTTTTTCTAATAGCTTATATATCCATGAATGGAAATTACTTATTACTAGAACAACAGAGCGTTCAGCATAAGTTCTCTTAATTTTTTTTTTTTGTTGCTTTGATATTAATGCTGTGGCACTTAGTTTAGACAAACAAGTAGATGGGGATAAAGTTGTTATAGTAATGCCAATTAATTATTTAAACTCCTTCTGAATTAAATGCCCTATTCACATATTGGTCTGTCATCAATTTTTGTTTTTTTTTTAATTCTTTTTATTGAGGTTATTGGTACAATCTAGGTATACAATACAATTACATTCATCATTGGGATTCTGTACCTTTACAAAATAGGTCTTGATTCTCATTTTTCCCCTTGTCCCTGCCCTCCCTTCACCCCCTCCTCCCCTCCCCATTTACAAACACTTTATTTCCATTTTTTCAGTTTCTCATATTTTTCCCCCTCCTTCATTACCTCTCCCCCACCCTTCCCACTTTCCTTACACCTTTAGCCCTTTACTTCCTATTTCACATTATTAATTATCTCATTAAGATCCTGTGTACTATTATAGTTTTTCACACCAAAGAAACCATTCGGTATTTCAGTTAAAGAAATCTCTATATGAACATTAAAAATAGGGAATCCCAACCATATTGGCCTAGAAATGTTAATTTATTTTTATTTTTTTTTCCATGTGTACGGGGGTAACACATTGTACTAAATATGTAAGGTCATATCTACGTGGGTTTGATTACAGAAACGAATAAAGTATTCTCTAAATAATGAAAAAAAGAATAAGATAAGACTATAAGAGCGAGAAGCAATTTAAATATGTTCAGGGACCGTTTTCATCTGCAGAATTAAGGATTATTTTGATGTTACATCATTGCCTTTTCTCTTTTACTTTCCTTGTCATCAAGCTTTTTAACGATCAATCCATTTGGCTGACAATTCCATTTGTTTTTTTCTTCTCTTTTGTGGAAAGAATAGACTTGGAACTCTTCTAACTTAGGGGAGTACTTTTTACATATACGGCAGTGATGGAACTTCTCAGCATTTTGCAAGTTGGTGGCCCAGGAATTTTAACACCCAAAGGAAATGTACTTATGATCAGGTTCAGGATGGGTGGGAAGTTGCTTGTGAAGGCACCTTCCTCATAGGCATATTCTGAGGCAGCCTGATTCTAGGGAGGAAGACAGATGGCAACTGAGGGTCTGAAAACTGATCCTCTTAAAACCATGCATGCTAGGAACCCCCCTGAAAAAACTTCTCACATCTGCAGACATGCATGTCCCGCAGAGACAGACAGCTGTTCTAAGGGAATGTGTGATCTGCCCGTGGAGAACGTGCCGAGTGTTGAGAACAAAATTTTTAGAACCATATCTTAAGACGTGAGCAAAGGAGATGTAACAACTTTTTGTCACTCTGGTAAATACTTGCAAAAAATCAACTTATAACGAGAAAAAGTTTATCTTGGCTCATAAATGAACATTCCAATCCATGATCAGGTGGCCCCACTGCCTTTGAGCCTGTGGTAGGTGAAGCAGCACACCAGGAAGGAAGTATGCAGTGGGTCAAAACTGCCTACCACATGCTGGGAAGTGAAAGAAAGGAATGAAAAGACTGGGCAACATTATCCTGTTCAAAGGCACTTTTTCAATGACCTGAAGACTTCCCATTCGGCCCTGCCTCTTAAAGTTTCTGCCACCTCTCTGTCGCGCCAAGCTGGGACTAAGACTTTGACCACGGTTCTTGCGTGGCCATTCCAGATCCAAACTATAGCAACCACTCACAGTACATTGGTATGAAATGAGAAGAAAGGTAAGAGAAAGATCACAAGAAACTGGTGTCACAGAGGTGGAAGAAGTTTCCGGAAGGAGGGAGCAGCCACAGTGCCAATGTCTCAGGACTAGCAGGTGAGATAACAGTTTATTTGGCTTGGTGACC